CCCATTCTCTCTCCCCCATTCTCTCTCTCCCATTGTTCTCCAAACATCCCTCCCTTCATAAAAGCTGTCTGGCTCGGAGCTTAAAATATTGCTGGACAGTAAAACCTACCCATCAGGATCAATCCAGTCATATCTGCTCAGTCGTGCAGCACAGTAGGGGCGGGATAGAGAAGGGGGAGGTGGGCTTTTAGGTGCCAAAGGAAAGAGGCCAAAGTTGCCATTTTGCTGCTGAGCACCAAGAGAGAAAGAGAGCGCACATTTCTCCGGGGGACCTTACTCCTACTGGCAAGTTTTCCTTGGGTGATGGTGGTTGGTAGCCTTCCCCCCCTGCCACCCCAGCTTCTTTCCCAGCCTAACCTAAGGGCCACATCCAGGCTTGGTCACTAAGGTTGGGTCTTGGGTTGGGATGGCTGGACTTAGAGTCCAGTTCTGACCACCCTCTTGGAACTGGCCTAAGAGTTGGCAGAGGCTTGGAAGGGAAAGGAATGCAGGAGTGGGGGAGAGGGAGGGGGGCGGAGAGGGCCACATTCTAACTAAAACCTGACTTTTTAAGGTCTTCTCATTTTTTCAGAATGAATTAACATGCCTCCAGGAATCCCGAGGGACCTAAACTGAGTATTTGGTGTTTATGAAAGAGTTGCGCACGTTTTCACTTGAACTCTGTGATAGGGGTAACGGTAATAACTACTACGTGCCGTGCGTGTAGAGGAGGCTTCTTGCTCCGTGTTTTCACGTTGGAGCATTTAACAGGGCACAAGGATAGGTCTAGCTGAGGACCTAAATGTCCACCCCAGAGAAGCTCTGTTGGCTCTCTAGGCAAGGCGCTCTTTAAAGTGGCTGCTTTAGAGACATGAATGGAAGCACATATTTACCCCCTTGCCACCCGGAGTGGTAAGTGGCCATCTAATGGTTTAGGGAACTGGTTAACACAGATGTAAGGGTGTGGTTCTCCCTTTCAAAGCCGAGAGTAGGCTATGCTACACTGGAAATCGCCATGGGCTTGAAGCAGGAAGACCAGGGCTCACATCCCTGCTCTACTCTCACTAGCTGAGCCCCTTTGGGAGACTTATTTAACCTCCTACTCTCCTTTCCTATCTAGTATTGGGGGACGATAATGCCTGGTTCTCTTTTTCTCAATCATTCTGTGGGCCTGTCAGTTCTGGTCCTAGATGAACTTTTCAGCAGCCTGTAGTAATAGTGTAGTCCATTTTTTCACCAACTTAAACGTGTTATTCTGAAATTGCGTCTTTTCTAGTTTTGCGGTGTGAAAATTCCCCTTGTATGAAAACAGACTGTAGCCATAATTAGTGATTTCAAAAGTTTCTTATTTTTATGTCTTTGCTTGGCACAGTTAGGAGTTGGTGGCCCTATGTTGGTCACTCCATTTTGTTGCTGTTATTGTATCAGTGTGTGAAATCCAAGTCTGAGAACCACTGGCCTCATTCACAGGTTGTTCTGAGGGCTGAAATGAGGTATGAAAAAGTATATCAGTTATAAATAGACAAGGGATACCCAATACCCAGACATAAGATGTCATTTTAATCATTGCTTTAAGCCATAATCCTCTGGTGGGTGTCCTGGGGGGTGGAGGCTTAAACTTCATCAGTTTATTTTCCATCTGTAAAAGATCTGTTCCTCTTTGAAGAAGAGAAGAAAAATATTCTTTCTTTGGTTTAGATTACTCCCTGCTCCAGTGGAATAGTTTGTTCAGATATACTCTGGTCTGACTTCCTTTAAGTAAAATTTTCATGTGTAGAAGTCAGGAACCCAGGCACTTTCCCTTAGCACCTCTAAAGCTTCTCTTCTTATTTTTTTAACAATGTTTATTTGTTTTTGAGAGAGACAGTGAGCAGGGGATGGGGGGCGGGGGGGGAGAGAGAATCCCAACCAGGCTCCACACTGTCAGCACGAAGTCCAATGCAGGGCTCAATCCCATGAACTGTGAGATCATGACCTGAGCAGAAATCAAGAGTCAGATGCTCAACTGACTGAGCCCCCCAGGCGCCCCTACAGCTTCTCTTCTTAAAAGTATAGTTGGCCCATTTCAATGGCATGGAATTGGAAAGATTTCATCCTAAATTAGTTTCTTTCTTTCCGTTATTATGAGAGACCTTGTAACGAGACATTAAACACACACACACACACATTCAATCCTGGCATTACAGCATGGAATGTAGAAGGACACTGCCCTGTTTGGCGTTAGTTTGGAAATTACTGATGGGGCGCTCAGCAGGGTCTCATGTATATCATGTATACATGCTAACTGCATGTTATACATGGTAACATACACGCAGTTCTTTGCTAACTGCAGCAAAGAACCCTGGAGTTCCCTAGACTTTAAGTAATACTGGTATTACAGACACTGAGAGATTGAGAATTTCAGATTTGAAATGATTACTGTTGCTCCCACTCACTGGTGTTTCAGGAGTGCCCGTTCTGTGAAAATCTTTGTTTTGTGTCATGATGGTTCATAGAAGATGAAGACAAATGGTCCCTGTCCCCCAAGAGCTTTTGATTCTCAAAGGGAGAAACAAGACTGACAGACACATAGTCCCGAGAGTATGTGCTTGCTGCACACATTCACTGAGGCACATGAGTGAAATACACATAGAAATCCCAAAGGCCCGATACAGTACCGAACAAGGAAGACTGTCAAAACCATGTTGATATGTCAATGGGGATAAGACATTAGCAACACTAGATTTAGCGTGTTAAAGCCAGACTTGATTTTACGGGAGTAAATGACATAAATTGCTGTTTCAACACAAATGTTACCCTGAGCCATTTTATAAGAAACTTGATTTTCCTGGCTCTGCCATCAATAGGATTTATGCTTGGGCTGCCTGTATACGGGGTTTCCCATCTTTTCCCCAAAGGCGATGGAAATGGCTGCCACTCATTACAGGGCGAGCACTAGATTTAACTGTACTTTGAGGGGTGTCAAATCCAGGAGTATAACTAGACATATGTGATTGGGATTCTGAATACCTGTTTATGAGTAGAGGATCCTCTCCCCCCATCAGTACCCCCATGCCTACAAGGAAGGCTTCCCAATGCTGGAGTCATGATTAGGGAACCACAGATGCTCTCACCTCCCAGGAGGAGAGAAGCTGCTGTCGGATGCCCCACCTAATTGAGAGTTTCTGGGGCCCCAAGAGAAGCAGCACAAAGCGGACAGTGGATGTGCCTAACCTAAGGGCATAGGCTGGCCATTGCTCATACCCACCATCCCTGCCTGCCACCAAGGACTGTCTGGCCATGCTCCAAACCACAGGTTGGAAGGAGGCTTTAAGGTGCCACTTTGTGTATCCTCTCCTAGAGATGAAAATGACACCCAATCTACCACTTTCCATCACCCATTCGAGTGGTTACCAAATATCACTGTCATTGAAAGTGGCAGGCATATTCCTTTGCTCCACGGACCTCTGATCCTGTCGGGTAGGGCGAGGCTGAAAGAAGCCTAGAGCAACATTTCTAGCATGGGCCCCTGTCCTGGTCTAAGGGCAGTGAAGAGGAAACACTGCAACTCTAGAGATATTCAGGCTCGAGAAGCATCTGCCACAGATGGAGGTAGGAAGGTTTTCTTTTCCTTTTTTTAAAGTTTATTTATTTATGTATTTATTTAAGTAATCTCTACGGCCAACGTGGGGATTGAACTCATGACTCCGAGATCAAGAGTTCCACGCTCCTTGGACTGAGCCAGCTGGGTGCCCCAAAGTGGAAGTTTTGATCGTAGTCCTTCATAGGTTAGCCCAGGGTTGCTGTGGATGAATGCCCCCCGGTTTGCACACATCACCCCTGTCAGTTCAATCCTGTGTGCGTTCGTCACTGCTGTTGCTTGGGGCATTAGATGCTATCACGTTTAGTGGTGTTTTTTTCCAACAAATGTTTAGCTCTATTAAAATAGCCACATGTGACAGACCCTAAAACCTTTTCATTTCGCGGGATGCTAAAAAAGTCTCGGTGGACCTTCCTCCCTGTAACATGATTCCTCTCCGAAGCACTCCCCCCGTTCTTTGGATTTAAAAGAGTTGTAATAATAATAAAAAATGTTGCTCTCAACTGGTGAAGCTGTTAAAAATGGTTTCTAGATTTCAACGTAGAGGGAAAAAGAACATAAATTGAGAGTACAGGAGTTGCGGAACTGCGTAGTTCTGATTGAAAGCAATGTATCTCCACCGTGTGGTGGAAAGAAATAAGGCTTTGAGGCCAGACAAAACTGCTGCTTCTTAGCTGTCTGATCTTAGCTGGTTGAACCTCTCTGAACTTCTGTTTTCTCATCAAATCATACCGATTCAATACCTTTTGAGCTTTCACTACGTGCTGGGCTCTGTGGCGGGCATTGAGTACGGAGCAGTAAATAAAATAAAACAGGCATGGTCCATATCCTTATGAGAATTACAGTCCAGCATGATCAAATTAAATGAAATAACGTAATGTCAAAAGTCTGCCACAGAGGAGATGTTCAAGGAATGTTTTTCTCCTTCCACTTCCCCCCAAACACCCGATCATTACACATTCTGCCACCGTGAAAGGTAAGATGGCTGCAATTACATACACCCAAGAATTTGGTCAGGGGCCCGGCCCCCCATGGTGTAGGGCATTCAAGTGTTATGCCTCTTGAAGCTTAGTTTAGCTTGTGGTCTTGACTTAAATCCATGTAATCACGGGTTTCTATTTATGGTCAACAACGGACCCTTATTTGGGGTGGAACTCGAGGAATTACATATCTGTTGCCTCCCTTACCCTCGTAGACCACTGTTTGCCCAGTGACTGAGAACAGGTAGTAGCGTTCAACCCATTTCACAGATGAGGAAGCTAATGGAAGCAGATTCTTCGCGCCGCGTTTGTCCCCTCCTCCCAATCTGCAGAGGAAGCGCTCCATAAGGTGCCGCTTACACGCTGACGGTTCCCGTTAACTCAGAAAGGAGAGGGACTCCCGAGGGTGACAGCGCGGCCCGCTCAGCTCTTGCCTTCTGCCTCCTCCAGGTGGGTGAGACATGGGCGACTGGAGCTTCCTGGGGAACATCTTGGAGGAGGTGAACGAGCACTCCACGGTCATCGGCAGGGTGTGGCTCACGGTGCTGTTCATCTTCCGGATCCTGATCCTGGGCACTGCGGCCGAGTTCGTGTGGGGGGACGAGCAGTCGGACTTCGTGTGCAACACCCAGCAGCCCGGCTGCGAGAACGTGTGCTACGACGAGGCCTTCCCCATCTCGCACATCCGCCTGTGGGTGCTGCAGATCATCTTCGTGTCCACGCCGTCGCTCGTGTACGTGGGCCACGCCGTGCACCACGTCCGCATGGAGGAGAAACGCAAGGAGCGCGAGGCCGAGGAGCTGTGCCAGCAGGCCGTGGCCGAAGGCGGCGACAGGGCGCCGCTGGCCGCCGACCAGGGCAGCGTCAAGAAGGGCAGCAACAGCAGCAAAGGCACCAAGAAGTTCCGGCTGGAGGGGACCCTGCTGAGGACCTACATCTGCCACATCATCTTCAAGACCCTCTTCGAGGTGGGCTTCATCGTAGGCCACTACTTCCTCTACGGGTTCCGGATTCTGCCCCTGTACCGCTGCAGCAGGTGGCCCTGCCCCAACGTGGTGGACTGCTTCGTGTCCCGGCCCACCGAGAAGACCATCTTCATCCTGTTCATGCTGTCTGTGGCCTCCGTGTCCCTCTTCCTCAACATTCTGGAGATGAGCCACCTGGGCCTGAAGAGAATCCGGTCGGCCTTCAAGAGGCCGGTGGAGCAGCCCCTGGGGGAGATCCCCGAGAAGTCCCTCCACTCCATCGCGGTCTCCTCCATCCAGAAAGCCAAGGGCTACCAGCTGCTGGAAGAGGAGAAAATCGTGTCCCACTATTTCCCGCTGACCGAGGTCGGGATGGTGGAGACCAGCCCGCTCTCTGCCAAGCCTTTCGGTCAGTTTGAGGAGAAGATGGGCACAGGGCCCCTTGGGGACCTGTCCCGGGCTTACCAAGAGACCCTGCCTTCCTATGCTCAGGTGGGAGCCCAGGAGGGAGAGGGGGAGGAGCAGCCCGTGGAGGAGGGGGCGGAACCAGAGGTGGGAGACAAGACGCAGGAAGCTGAGAGAGTGAGCAGCGAAGGGCAGGAGACCCTGGCGGTGCTGGAGGGGGAGAAAGTGGAGACTCCCGAGGTCGAGAAGGAGGGGGAGAAGGAAGAGGTGCAGGTTGAGAAGGCCGCCAAGCAAGAGCTGCCTGCGGAGAAGTCGCCTTCGCTGTGTCCAGACCCGACCAGGGATGACACCAGACCCCTGAGCAGGCTGAGCAAAGCCAGCAGCCGGGCCAGGTCTGACGATCTAACCGTATGAAGTGTTGCCAAAGAAAGAGAGAAAAGAAAACACCCAAGTTGACATAGGGCAAGATGAAACGTAAAAGATGCCACCATGATATGGGTCTTCTGTCCCTCCCCTCACACTCACCCCTGGTTGGACAGGTATTGTGGGGGCACAATACTTGCTGTACAACTAGGAAACCACCTTTCCCCTATAAAAGGGCCACCGAGATAAATCCGTTGTCCCACCAAAGTTCCCAGTCTCAAATGACTGCCCTGCCCCTCTAGCCCAGCCGCAGTGGGGAACTCTACTTTCACTCCCATTTCTCCATCTGAATCCTTCCAATCAGAACTGGGGTTGCCTCACAGCTGTTTACCGGCCATGACTCAAGTTCACTGGCTCAGCCAGACTCTATCACCCCAGCGCTTCCCTAGCGGACACCGCGTGACCTCGTACCAGGGGGCCCAAACTCAAATGCCTACAGGATGTGGGCAGGTGCTTTAAATTGGTGGGATGGGCCTGTCCTAACGCCATGGAATGTCTAGGGGTGTGACGATTGGGGGGGCAGAGAGCAGCTGTCGCTCAGTACCAGGCACTAATGACCGGGCAGCGTTACCACAGAAGTTTCTGAGTTTCCCACAGAATCCAGAAGCCCAAACGTCTCGGTGAAATTTCTGACATCTTTAATATCGCCAACTAAATTTTAAATATGCCACGTGGGCCAAACAAAATGCATGCAAGCCAAATTTAACCTATGGGCCACCAGTGTGTAAGGTGAGCCTACACTGGTGACCCCGGCTTTCCCGTGGAATTGGTCATGGTGTTTATGGTCTCAACTTGTGTCTAGGGCTCCCAAGTCTCATTTCACCAATTTGGAGTGTCCAGTTAATGTCATCAGTCCAGGAGATACTCACTGACCTTTCTGTCCCATCACTGTAGCCTTTGGGTTCTGATGCAATTATATCTCTGGTGGGGAATTCTGACCTGGGCACCATCAGAGAAAGAGGGCAAGAGCCCACACCCCCTCCCTGAGCTGAAAAGGCCTCAAGGTCTGGTTGCAGTTTTCTTCCTGGAAGAAAGAATGTCCCCTTCTGCCCTCTCCTCTCCCAATATCAGTGCTCACCCTGAGAGCCATGCCTCCTTTCATCGGGGGCTGGAGGCAAGCCCAGTCCTGAGCCAGCAGATAACCTGTCCACTGGCCTCTCTAGAGGAGAGTCAGCTCTTGGGCCTTGCCCAGACATAAGATGTGTACAAGGAGGACCATCACAGTGGTACTAGGGAGCACTTACAAAGTGGGAGCTCAAACAGCCAGAATCTCCAAGTCTAGTCCCAGGCTAGGCCTCCTCCCTCGAAGGGACATAGGGGCCAAAGGGAACAAGAAGAATCTCAAAGCTCTCCTACCCTTGACCCTTCACAACCAACACTCCTCAAACACGCAGTCCAGCCTGGGAAATCCTCAAGCACAAGTACGTATTTCCCACAGGGAGCAATTTTTACCTAGAGCCGATCAATTCCCAGAGCTGAGGGACAAAATGATAATCAGGGTGGTTTATCTGAACCAAAGCGATGCTTTACGGGATAGAAACCAAGTGGCAGAGATCTGGACATGGGACCACCAGGGAACCCGAGGGAAGTACCCAGAGAACTGCCTTAATTCTGTCTTCCCCCAGCCAGCGCCATCCTGAAGTATGCAGTTCCCTTTGTCTGCCCTCTGATTATTATCCCCTTCCTTTTAAGATATTCATTCTAGAGAAGCCAAAGCCTCCTCCCACACTATTCCTCCCCATACGACTATTCCTCACCCCCCATTCCTTGGTGCCCCATTCTAAAGCAAAGTGGGCCAGAAATTAAATTCGTTCGAAGGTATGGTTCTTCGGTAAATACTCCATGGAAATGTGACATTTTCAAAGAGACAGCCTAAAATATATCCTACCCAGGTTAATCCAAAGTGACAAACTTTGAATGAAAGAATGTATCAGGCAGTGTATAGTTGAATAGAAGAGATCTAGTTATCTCAGAGACACATGACCTTCTGGCTACTGCTTGACTCTTCCCCTGGCAATCAACACCGCTCCACCCAAAACTTCTCTATAGTGAGACAAGTCACAAGTCACAAGTCCCCATTGGGCCTGGGGACCAGACCCTGCGCCACTGCACTGACCCCAATGGCTGCACCACTGCTCCTACGGGTTTGCTCCTGCACACTCATTTGAAGAAGACATAAACTCAGAGCCTGAGAACAGCTTGCTCATTACCAGAACAGAGTGTCTGTCTCCACAAAGACCTCATCCGAAAAAGAGAATTGCCCCCTGCTTGGACTGAAAACTGCTGGTGCAGGGGTGAAGGCTGCTGGCCTCCTTGTCTCGGCTGGGGCATAAGCCTGTGAGTGAGTGTATTTCCTGGGAGGGAGCAGGATCCTGTCTCACTTGTCTGTACCTAGACACCCCGCCACTGGGGTTCCAAATGGAAGTTGCCATTTTCCCTCTTAGTCTTCCAATAATAGAGGAAGGCTATTGGGGGGAAGAAATAGACACAGGCATCAAGGGACCAGGATTTTTTTTTTTCTATTTCTGCCATTTAGTAGCTGTGCTATTGTCATCCCTTAATCTCTATGTAGCTTGGTTTTCTGTCGACAAACTAGAGATGGTATTTGCCACCAACCTACCTCCAGGGGTATCGTTAAGGATGAGCCAGCTGGCTGCCAAGCCTGGAGCCGGCCAGGTGCGTCGCCACTCCCTGAAATGTTCTTCTAGCAGCAGGGAGGCTGGGAAGAAAGGGAGGTAGGCGCTCTCCATGCCGCCTTCTCGTCCTCCCTTGCAATTACCTAGTGAGAGTTTTTCCAACTCAGAATAGACACTCTGGAGGTCATTTTTCTCAGAGAAGGCTCAAAACAGAATCTGGACCCCGGATGTTGAGTAGGAACCCGAGGCTCTTTGGCCTTGAGAAACATCTGGGGACAGACTGGCAATTCCTTTCATCCTCTGGAAAATGTCCCTTGTTCCATTCACAGGCAGCTGTGTGTCCGTGGAGGCCTTGACGCTGTACAGCTGAGTCCCTCAGTATCTGTTTTGAGGCAAATAATTATGACCAACTCAGGATTATAATCCCCCCCCCACTTCCCCCCCCCACCCTGGGCTATGGTAGGTCCAACTTTAAATCCTACTGTAGGTCCTTTCCTTGTTAGATTAACATCCTTAGGGCAGGTAGACCTACTGATAAAAAGAAGCAATGAACAGCTAGATATCCAAAGTACAGCTCGCTCCAAAGGAAAAGGGCCAATCACTTAATAGCAGTTATAACACCTCACGGGGAAGATCTGTGACAGGAAGGGACAGAGTAACTCAAAGTTCAGTTAGCAAATTTCAAACCTGGCTCTCTAATCCCTAGGCCTAGCATTTGGGGCAATCTAAAAAGGCCTATCTGCTTTTCACCTTGACTCTGCAACTTGCCACACAGGTGACACATCCAACACAGAATTAGACAAACACTCCTGAGGGTCACTGTGTCCTGGGGATAAGATTTTCCCACGAAGAACAATGAAAGTCAAGTCAGGAGTGTTGGCAGCCCCTCACTGACTCTCAGGACCCCAAGATGTCACTTCCCTGCTCTATATGACAATTTTCCCCTGGTTAATTGGGGGGGGGGGGTAACACATTTTGCCCCTCCTTCACGAGATAGAACAAGTGAATTGATACCCAGGAAACACCATGAGCATACTAGAAGAGATGAGTGGGTGTTTTTAAAAATTCAGTAATTTGGAAATCAAGGAAAGGGAGGGCGGCCTTATCCAAAGTTGCCGGAAGTCTTTATTGTAAAATGCATACTGAAGCAAGGACAGTCACCACTTCAACTCCTGCACAGACTGTTGACTAAGATCCGGACAGAAAGTCAGCTAATAAGTCAAGTGGAGGAAGTCAGTGAAGGGGGAAAATGGGCAATGTTTCTGTAGTCCTGAATTCCCAAGAGTTACACCATGAACAGAGAACGTTTTTTAATCACACAAGAGCTCATTGCTCAAGGTGATGCTACAGGTAGTCAGTTTCCTAGGACTCATGCGTAGAGATGCACCAGCCCCTGAGACCTGAGTCTCTGACTCATGGCAGAAGGGAGCCCCTGGATACTGGCAGAGCTGTGTGCAGGAACTCTCCGGCTTAAGCCATCTGGAAGGTGCTGGACAAGGCTAGTGTGGGCAGCTGCTCTCCGTGAGTTCCTGGGCAGGGTCGTTAGGTCATGCTCAGGGTGAAAAGGAAGGATCCCACCCACACAGTCTATCCCACCCCGCTCCTCCTCTCTCCTTCCGCCGACCCCAAATTATTCCTCCATGCAAATGACCACACAACTCAAGTTAGCAAAATTTAGGTGATGAAGGTTTGCCTGGTTGGATGGAGAACTCCCCTAAGCATAAATCCAATCTGTAAAATGAAGTAAGTGTGTGCCTAGAAGTGATACTGAAATAGTCAGGGAGACTTTCCCTTCTTGTAATCACCGTATTATAGCTAAATATGTAACCAGGAAGGAAGGAGAAAAAGGAAACAAAACTCTAGGCTCAGCAGGTAGATAAAAGAAAGATTTTTAGGAAAGACAAGTCATTCTCCGCTGCCCTGGACACTGCAGCTCCCAAAGTCGGCCACCAAGATAGCAACAGGACATACTGTAAGCTCCAGCCCCACTTCCTTCTGGAAGCTCTTTCTCCGGGGCAGACCCAGAATTCTGGAAGAATTCGTGAGGTTTCCTAGAGGGAAAAATAGATGGCCTCATTGCCTTTGTCTGCAAAATTTTCCATCTAGGAAACAGGATTCGTCGAGACTCAGCTAAGGAGCACATTCCTAACAAATTTCCTGGGGAAATCTCTGGCAAGGGAGAGAGACATCATGGGGATTGTGTCCTGAATTCTCCGACCCTCCACATCCTTATGTTAGAGCTAATAGTCACATGTTAGACTGTTACAAAACAAATAAAACTAACTTGACTTTTCGCCATCTTTGTTTTTTTCTTTTGACTGGTCAACGAAGCTAGGCTGTGGAGAGACTGGCCCA